TTTGTTGGTATTGATTTGAACGCAAAAAAAGCTCAACGCGTGTTAACGTGAGCACGGGACAAATTTCCCGCCGCTTGCTCGGCAGAAAGTTTAAATTTGTCAACGGCCACCCCCCGCTCAATGTATACACCACACACTGTCGTGGATCGGGTAAAGCCAAACATAAAGGTTTCTATTCCAGAACCAAACACAGGGCGCTCTATTCCAAAGCACACAAGGCGCTCTATTCCAAAACCAAACAGATGACGCTAGGCGCATCAATTGAATTGACCCAATTGCGTCGAGAGCGGGCTCGGGCCGCTTATTAAACAACTTGCGGGGCATCAATTGAATTGAACAGATTGACTTTGCTCGAGGCATTGCCGAGGGCACCACCGTGCCAAACCTGGTCATTTCTTGTCCGCACGTGGTTTCGCGCAATGCCGTTCGCTAAACCTCCGGCGAGACCCCAGACCAAATCAAACGCTGGAACTGTCAGGATGCCCTCGCACGCTATCAGAAAAAGTATGCCATCTCTAGAAGCCGTATTTTATATAATCAAGCTAATATTGTGGTACTAAAAATTCTGAAGAACTCCGCACAAAAGACCGGCTGCGCTTGCAAAGGTAAGATCCTTTGATGATGCACTTCCTTCTGAATCTCTTCTGAGCCCCGTGTAGACTCCGCGCCGAGCGGAAAGAGTCAGAAACCGCCACTAAGGTGCCTCGTGAAAGCCGTCGAAAGGGAGACGCCGAGTACAGAGAACACAGCACATTTCCTCTCCTGTGATCCCAAGTGAGCTTTCCTGGTTTGAATTTGTGAAATCTGCTAAAATGTGTGCAGGCGGATGTAACCAAGTTATCATTGCGCTCTGCAAGTCCATACGTCCATACAAATGTCTACTATACATCGCGTCTTTGCCTTTAACCTTTAACTAATTTCTTGCCGGTTTTGATGTGCCGGGATCTGTGTCAGTGCTAACAACCTGGGACAGACCATGACACGGACGTTGTCTCTTTTTGACTGGCAATCACTTAAACGCCGTGCCAGTGCTCCTTTTGGCTGAAGATGACCGGAATGACCAGGGCTATCTGCTGGCGGCGCGCGAGCCTCAGAAAACAGCTCAAGTGTTTTAAAATATAAAGGAGTGCAATATGGTCACGCGTTTGAAGATGTAAGGCATTGCAATATGGTCACGCATATGAAAATGTAAGGCATTGCAATATACACGTTTGAAAATGTAAAGCACTGATTGGACGCTAGAGAGGTCAATAATGCCTCCAAGCACTCATTGGACGTCAGAGAGGTCAATAATCCCTCCAAGCAGAACCTTTTTGGCTGAAAATGACCGGAAAGACCAGGGCTATCCACTGGCGGTGCGCGAGCGTCAGAAAAATGGCTCTGGAGTCGTGCTGGAGATGAAATTGTTTTAAAATGTAAAGGACGGCAATGCGGTCACGCGTTTGAAAATGCAAAGAACTGACTGGATGCGAGAGAGGTCAATAATGCCTCCAAGCGGACTCTCTTTGGCTTAAAATGACCGGAAGGACCAGCACTATCCACTGGCCCTTTACAATTGTGTTTCTTTCCCCCATATTTGAGTTTCCTGTCCCTCATATTTGAGTTTCCGGGTCTTTGCCTCGGTCGTGATGATGGGATTCTGTAAACGGGTTTATACAGTTCTCATTCCATATTAAGTTTTTATCGATTATCATAAAAACACTGTGGAGTCTGACTACGTGAGACTATGTTCTCATCGTGATTAGGATTTGTCGAAAGTTCTGACGGAACGACCCACCGCGGAATAACTGTTGAATCTCGCCACATCACCCTTGCCGTTCCATCATATGATCCCGATGCAGATAATTCGGACGAATCAACATGGCAGCATCGTACGCGGGTTGCGCGCCCTCTACTCCCGCCCCTCCCGCCCCATCGTCAAAAAATACCGAAAAAATGACAAGAAATCCAGAAAAAATCCACGAGTCGAGCGCGCCCAACGCGCCGCCCGCCTCCAATCACGTGATCCAAATCGCGACATTGTCTCAACGTTTCTGTGACGACGTCCACAAAATCTTAACCAAATTGGCGGAAAAAATGGTGAATACAGGGATGGTGTATCTTTCCCTTCAAATGATTTGGAGAGAGGCCGGCAAGCGGCAGGGCACAAACAGAACAGGATGATTTTGAATTTACAACTCGGACCGGTCTTTCCAACAGCTTGGGCATCACTGCATTCAGGGCCTTGGTTGCCTAAAGCCGGTAGCTGGTGCTCACAGGGGAGTTTTAAAAAAAAATTGAACTGGCAGAAACACAAAGTATGGTCCCAAGGGCATCAGATCCACTCTTTTTCAAGCTTTTCATACCCGTTGGTAGTAGAGCACCTAGCCAGGGGTTGCCTGTCAGATCGCTCCATCGGCCGGTTTTCAAAACCATTCCCCCTTGTTACAATCCTCTATTCTCCATGATGATGAATTAACCAAGGAGAACCCTTGCGGGCCAGCCCCCCACAAGACGGAGATAAGGAATTATCCAACCCCGACCATTTGAGGCATCAAATCAGTTTGACGCATGACTCAGGCCAGTTACAAGCATTTCCAGCAACCTCGGGATCACCCGGCATTTTAGCGTCACTGCAGGGATGGGCTCAGGTAATCCAGCAGAACCAGAGATGCCCAGAGCAAGAGCATTCCAACCTGAGAGAAGTGCACGAGGCACTTTGTGCGGATCATGGTGAACAGGAACGATAAAACCATTATGGGAACAAGTCCCTCCTGATTTCAGGTGCATCATTGCCCAGCAGGTTGAGTTCGAGAAAAACCCTGTGCGTAGCTAGACTCCAGAGGATGAGAACAAAGCACCAGATAGTTTCTTTGTCTTCTCGGATGCGAAATCCCGGAATCTTGGAGGCCGGTTGCCGAAAGCCCGCGGAACCAGTGGAGTGACGTCACCACGCCACCAGAAGAGTGAGCCACCCGAGACAAAGAGAAATCGCAGAGGAGGGCTCCTGCGCAAGCAGCAAGCACGGAGACCATTCGGAGGGAGACCCACAAGAGTCCTGTACGCAGAATGAGTCCACCATCCCCAAGAAACGAGCCAAAACCGTCAGAAACTGCGAAAGCTAGAATCAATGGTGGTGGTACGGATCAAAGGGCCTCCTATTGATAGCTAACTTGTACACTTCAGAAAACAAGGTGGCAGGATCTTCTTGGAGGGTGTCTGGTGCATCAACCGGGCTCTTATCACTCATGAAGCAAGGTATGTGCTTACTCATTCACATTTTTTGGTGCAGGCCTTCTGCACCGGCTCACTGCCGGTGAAACCTCTGGCTATGACTGTAGGTGTCACTCCATGAACAGCGAGGGAATTATGATGATGTTTTCAATTCTTCAACACTTGGAAACTCTCAGTTTGGGAGAAATGCCACCTTATTGCACACCAATAGCCTGTCTGACCCAACTTCGGGTGTGCAAACTTTGCCAAATAAAAACAAGGATGATTTCAACAGTGGCACAAAGCCTCGTTCAATATAATGTGTGCCCCTACTGCATTGCCAGTTGAAGGTAGAATGGGGCTGTCTTCCATCATTGTTTTGTTCAGGGTTGATTTGTAGTGTTGCTCTCGCCCATCCACCAATCTTAGTCCTCAGATGAGGTCAATTTCCCTCACCAGAAGTTCTTCAATTGTTATGGAGAGAACCATGCACAGGCTCTCATCCTTTTCTATGCTGGGTGTGCTTCAGCTAAGATGATCCTTCGATGGAATCTAGGAATTTACTCTGCAGTTGAGGTGGTGTATTCATGGGTACAATATTGATTGTAGCTTCACATTCAATGTCCAACGTATTGAATCCTGAATTTAACAGTGTAGGTACTCTGATTTCGCAAATCTTCACTTTGCAGCTGAGACTATGCCGACTGAATTTCTAGATTCTGGTCTCCTATGTGGCCTATCGCCTCAGGTGGGAACAACATAGGAAGCTCATTCATCTCAGAACAGAAATATAAACCAGCTCTTATACATACACTCTTCTCAACTGAATACAAATAAAGTTACTTCAAAGTAACCCAAGTAACTTCAAGTAACTTAGGAGTAACTTCGCCCCCCAAGTTAGATCAATGCAATCAGCAAAAGTAACTTATGCCATCAGATGGCATCAGTTACCGCCAAAGTTCACTTATGGGATCGATCCGGCCAGGCAAGCACAGATCTCGTCTGCAGATGCTCAAGGAGACCAGGATTGACACTTATTTATTTGGCACTCTCTCCATGGTGTACCACCAGTGCTTAAAATTGTGCCGTTGAATTTGGTTTGGACCACTCCCAAGCTGGACTCAGTATTCTGCTGCAAAAGACATTTTTCTGTGCAAAGCACAGTAGATTAAATAGCCAAAGAACAGGTATACACCTCCTAGGAGCATTGTGATGATGTGGTTTGAATTTAGCACGCGAAATTCTGGTTCAAGTTAGAGAATTAAGGTGTTCAAGGTGCTTTGTGCAGGTGTAAAGCCAAAATAAAGTGTGCTGATGGTAAATACATATCCAGGTGTCAACGAGATTGTGTTTTAAACATATTTGCCCAACTAAGATGTACCCTTTGGCCCTCTAATCCCTCCAAGTTAATGATAAGTTAGTTGGGTGAAAGTTACTTATGCCATCTGATGACTTGTACTTTTACGTGCAAATTAACTTACTCTACCACAAGTTACTTTAAGTGAACTTTAAGTTACTTGTGGCAGGCTAAGTTAGTTTGTCCAAGTAACTTGGTTAACCATTCTAGGAGCCTTAGAAGTCCACTAGGTATCCATCTGCTCCAACTTTCGCAGTCAAAGTAGATAAGGAAGCAGTAGCTGCAGGTGCAGCATAATGATAAGCTGGTACAAACAATGCTAGAGATCCAGCTGCTGACTAAGCGAGTTGTTGAAGGCAAAGTCTGTGACAGCATAGTACAAAGAGAGAGTTGGAACCAGCTCCTGTATAAGTGAGTGGTCATCAACAACAGTCACACCGGTACTATCATAAGCACAATAGCTCAGTGGTTAAAAGCACCAGATATGAGTCCTGTGACCCGGGTTTGAATCCCAGTTGGGCCATCTTTTGGATCATTTTCACAATATTTTATTTCACTGTTGTTACAATGATGAAGGGGACTGGAACGAGCAAGAAAAGCGAGGAACCGTAAATTACAAAGAGATCACATAAGAACAAAGGCGGATTAAAGACGGTGTCAAACACGCTTAGTTTCAACCAATTCTGTCCAGAATTGAGCTCAAAATGAGCTCGTCAAGATGAGAAGTTTTGAATTTATTCCTATTTGTATAATGATTGGATTCATCGGAATTGTCATTACTTTTGCAAATCACTATAAATTGCTACCTTAGACACATAGATTTTGTACTATTTAGAGGTGTACGCTAGATTCAGCTTTCTTGACTTGGTACATGTACTTTGGGGCCACTGCGTGCAGATGGTGATACAAGTCCTGGGAACACTGCGCGTCTTTATAAAAATTTACCATTATGATCCAGTTTGGTAATTGTAGGTCTGTTTCATAATTCCCCACCTGACCTGAAATTATGAACACATCCTGTCTTTCTTATGACCATGTTTGGGATCTTTGTGCTTATATTCTCCTCTTTTTTGCAAAGGATTGTTAACTGCAGTTCTGGGATTTTCACGCATAAGAAAAAGCTTATCATTTAGAACTAAAATACATGGACAACTACATACAGGTAGAGCACAGTTGGGTAGCCACCTAGGCCAGATACGACAACCCTAGAACGTAAACTAAACTAAAACTAAACGCATATAGCTTACGATCCTCATCCATTCCATGAGTGTGAACTTGACTGCATACCTACCAATAAAAAATTTAGGACTGCCGGTGTATGCTATGGGACTCCCATTGTGTGGACCAATATAGTCCTGCCAAAATTACCAGGCACAGAATAACATTTCCCTTGCTTGGCAGTTGCTGGGGAAGAACTGGGAGAGGTGGAAAGCCTCAATGCCGACGCTTGAGGGCAAACGACATATAATAAACATGGTCATCGGAGGCAGAACTCAATACTTAACTAGAGTACAAGGAATGCCCCGAGATGTTGAAAAATGTTACGAGCCAAACACATTTTTCTTGGATGGAAACAAGGCCAGAGTCGCACATGAAATCCTTTCACTTGAATTTGACTATCCTGAAATACCAATGAACTTCTCGTCGGCCTTATTAGGAGGGCTACTTTATGTCCTGCAAAACTGTCAGAAAAATATTGCACTCGTTATTTGCTCGGCATCAGATGTCTTGTCAAGGATACTAGTATGGAGAAGACATAGCTCTGAAAACAACCGATTGGATCCGAAATTCCCCCTCTTTGAAGCTGTTGTGGCCGCCGCAAACGAAAGGGTGGCCTGCATTAAGTATAAGAAAGTAGCAGACTATCAACCAAACTTTTGGAATACCGTCTGGACTCAAACTGTTGAAATTGATAGACCTCATGTTTGAATGCCCGGGAATTCTCCTATCACACAGCTCACAGTGATATTTCACAAAGATCATCAAGAAACTACAACAAAAAACCCACTGAAAATCCACCTTCATAAACCTAGATCGCATTTTTTGTGCAGTTCAAGAAGTTTCTAAATACTCACCAAGAGATGAAGCAATCTGGATGTCAATCCGGTCAGCTACATTCCAACAACTAACACGAGAATTCTATTGAAAGTGCATTCATGACACATCTAGAGTCAGGGATTTCTGGTACTACATAGATTCATCAGAGATAAGAGGGAGATGCCAGGAATGCCACGTCCCTAAAACTCTTCAGCACATCGCATTAGAGTGTGATATGCAGGACCGAACATTAATATAGAATCTGACCCGCCAAGTGTGGTCGAGGAGGTATACCCTCTAGCCAACACTAAATTGGGGCCTAATTCTCGGATGTAATCTGGCAAAATTCAGATCAGACAAAGGTTCTATTCTCCCAGAAAAGGGGCAACCTTTTGCGATGCTGGTCTCTGTTGCATGGCATCAGATTTGGAAACTGCGCACCGATCGGGCAATTAAAACCACGGGTAGAATGCATAATGAGAAACACATTCATAATCAGTGGCTGAACACTATTAATTTCACTCTGAAACGTGACCGCCTTCTGACAAGTAAAGTTAAATTTGGACCGCCCGCATTGAACAAACAATTGGTACTAAACACCTGAATTAACCCTAAATCAACCTAAGTGCGAAATAGGGCTAATTTCGCACTTAGGTTGATTTAGGGTTAATTTCAAGCCTATTTGCTAGGGTTGATTTAGGGTTAATCCCAAGCCTATTTGAATTTATTTATGGCGGGATTGTGCTTAAATAAATTCTGGATCCTGAGCTGTTTTTCTGGGGTTAGTAATGGACTGTAGGGTGACTGGTGACCTCAGATTAGGGTTTAGGCCAACCCACTGCAGTACAGCATACAGCAGCCAACAGGTCAGCAAGGTCAGCAAGCTCCAGCATTGTCCCTGCCCATGGCTGTTGACCTGTTGCCAGTTCTAGTTTAGATGAGTAAGCACCAGTCAGTGCGGCAGGTTGACTGTGGGAGTTGCAAGTGTGCAAAGGGTTGAATGTTGAAGTTGAAAAATGTCAAACACAGTTGATCCCTAGGATGCCCACCCCATGGCACACCCATAGGCAGGCACAATGCTGGAGGCTGACTGGTGCTTACTCATCTAAACTAGAACTGGCAACAGGTCAACAGCCATAGGCAGAGACAATGCTGGAGCTTGCTGACCTTGCTGACCTGTTGGCTGCTGTATGCTGTACTGCAGTGGGTTGGCCTAAACCCTAATCTGAGGTCACCAGTCACCCTACAGTCCATTACTAACCCCAGAAAAACAGCTCAGGATCCAGAATTTATTTAAGCACAATCCCGCCATAAATAAATTCAAATAGGCTTGGGATTAACCCTAAATCAACCCTAGCAAATAGGCTTGAAATTAACCCTAAATCAACCCTAAGTGCGAAATAGGGTTAATTTTAGCCCTATTTCGCACCTAGGTTGATTTAGGGTTAATTTTAGCCCTATTTCGCACTTAAGGTTGATTTAGGGTTAATTTCAAGCCTATTTCAAATAGCTGCAGTCAGGGTTTTTCAACAAAAAGCCAGAACGGACTGAAAATGCCTAAAAAAGATCGAAAATCTTTGGTTTGGCGCTTTGGAATTTATTTACTGTGAGATTGTGCTTAAATAAATTCAAAATCCAGCCCATTTTCAACAAAAAGCCAGAATGGACCAAAAAAGCCGTAACAGAGCCAAAATTAACCCTAAGTGGCTAGATTGACTTGTGGTTAATTCGAGCCTCATTCAAAAAAAAGCCAGAATGGACCAAAAAAGCCATAACGGGTCCAAAATTAACCCTAAATGCAGAAAAAATGCCAGATCACCTTCATTTCAGCTGTTTTGGCCATTTTGCACTTTATTTACCAGGTTTTGGTGGGTAAATTTATTTATTTACGCGGAAATCGCCCTTAAATAATCTGTTCTGGTCCCAGAATGGAGAATCAGATACATAGTTTCCGAACATCTCCGAACGTCAACAGATACTGGCCTGAACATAAAGCAGAAATGACTAATAACCAAAATTAAACTTGGAGAATCTCTTTACCTTCTGTGAATAAACAGACTAGCACACAGGTATTCAAACTGGTAAGAAGGTTGAAGACATATATTCACATATTTATGTCTTTCTCCCCTTGCTTTCCTATTTTTTCTACGATGACCAATTGATGCTGATGGAATGTTGTTTGTACTTGTAGCAGAAAATGGACCGAAACCCATCTTCTCCTGGGTAGCCAAACCTAAAGGTTCAGCAATAAAATTTGACCTCAACAACGCTAGGTAGCCAAAGCCAACCTATGCCTACGTCTGTAGTCACAGGTAGTCACAAGTAGGCAAAGCGCAGTCGCATGTGGTCCCATGTCCATGCGACACACCCTCTGACGACGGGGGGCCTCAATGCAGTGAATTGACGGGGTCAGCAGAGCGTGGCGGTGGTTCCGGCGATGCGAATGCTCCATATTCTATCTCGTTCCCGTGCCTGCGTCGTCTATGGCTTTGCCCCCGCCACCGTCGCTATTTGCCGGCGCGGTGCAGGCATTCCGCAAGGGCATTGTCATGCTCGTGCATCTTTTCGTTCTGCTCTCATCGTTCTTCATTTTGTTTTCTTATACAGATTCTGCTGGATATCTACGACTACCATGTCACGCCTGTTGTAGTATGGACCTCGCATCCAGCCCTGAGGATTATGCTAGTAATGGGCCGTGTGGGTTCTGGAGTCCGGAGTCGGTGGGAGTCAGGGCGGTTTATGTAAAGGAGGAGTTTTCTCCTGTAGCTGTTTCCTTCAGTGTGAAGAGAACGGTTACCGGTGCATAGTATTATATCGCTAATATAACTAGTGTGAGGAGAACGGTTACAGCTACCCCGAACTCTTGACCTACAACAAAGCACAGGAAACAGATCGCCGCCCGTCCCGCCTAATGTTGCCGCGGCTCGGCTATGGCTGGCTCGGCTCGGCTTTTGATGGCTCCGCGACGTGATGGCTCTGGAGCCGAGCCGAGCCATTTATACTAGCTTCCCATGGCTTCGGCTCGAGCCACAGCTTAGCCGTGGCTTCGAACATTTTATTCGCGAAACACATCCACACAGTAAAATACTGAACGACCGCCTATCCCACTGAGCCCGGCTGGCTCCACTTATATCTGGCTTCTATGCCTTTTCAATAATCATTGCAAAATTGATCAAGATCTCGCATCATGACAGCCTGTGCCTGTCTCCAACTTCCCGCCAGTCTCCTTGTCAACCGAAAGCCCGAAGACTGCAGAGTACATCACAGCTATTCTCTCAACCTCGACTGTCTATGTACCTCCGTATGATCCCTACGTCTCTCATCGAGTACTGGTCAAGGTGGCACAGTACACTCGAAATCTCGAGGAAAAGGTGGCGTCGCACCAACGCGTCCTCTGGGTCCTCGTCGTGTCCGATACGCTCATGAGCTCGTTCAATCAGAGACTGGATATCACGAATCCGGACGAGTATATTATTCCTCTCTTTG